AGCCTTTGGCCTTTAAATTGCCCCTATATTAGTTGCCAATTTTTAAAAAGTTTCTTTGTCTGTAGCTGTGACGTCCCTCATCTCATTTTGGGTGTGTGTCAATTCTTTTCCCATGCGCTCAAAAAATGCTCTGGTTTTGTTGCAGTATTGAGGATGAGTCGTCTGCATATGTCTTAATTGGATGGCCGCCGTTTGCATGTACGTGTGCGCCATGTTCACATGGGCTAGAGTGACATCTGTAAAAAAAAAGTGCTGAATTAATATTGGAGTTACTTTTACACGCTGGAGGAAGGATGACACCCTGGCTAAAGTATTTCTTTTAGACAGGTATTGTTATGTTCTAAAAAATATTTTAGATTTTGTTGTTTTACAAATAGGTTATATGCACAGAAGTGTTGTTCAGCCACAGAAATCTTTCGGCGAATGACTTTACAGACAACATTTTGGCAGATTTCCTGCTGTGCCTTTATTACTTACATGCAGGGTTCATACACATTTCTACTACTAAAACTCCATGACTTTTCCATGATTTTCCCAAGACTTTCAAATAAATTTTTTATGACCTAATGTTTCATCAAATGTCGGCATATGAATGGTAAAAGAAAAACAATTCATGTTTGAATTTATTACCGCATATGGTAAAACACGCAACAATCTATTTAGTTTCAGTTTATATTTATATCTGTATAAAACTGATTTAGATAATGCTTACACCACACTAATAACTTGAGAGTATGTGATTTGCCAAGGACAGAAAAGAAGTAAATATTATTCAAGTACACAGATATCTGTTTTCCATGACTTTTCAAAAATCTTTAAAGTTTTTCCAGGCCTGGAAAATGTCATGTCATAATACCATGACTTTTTCAGGTTTTCCATGACCGTATAAACCCTGTATATGGTAAACAGTATTTCTGTGTGTGCTCTTTAAACAAAAATACTATAACAGAAGCTCAAATAAACATGAAATGAATAAATTATATAAAATTCCTGATGATGAAATACTGCAATGGCATATTAGTGTGACAAACACCATAACAATAACCTGATGTTGTTGTTTTTTTTTTCTTCAACGGAAAGAGTAAAGACACCTATGCTGACCATTTATAATTGGATTACTAAAAGCAAAAGTTAATTTAGTAACACCATCCAAACAAATCCTGTTTAGGCCACAGAAAAGCAACATTTCTTAATGGAAGTATAATTTATTCAAACCAGTTTTCTGTCTTGGAATATATTTACAAACATTAGTGTTCAGTTTAACAGAAGAAGTAAATGACATTGAAAAGGATCATATGTACAAAATGTATGTCCAAAAACAACAACAACAAAACATGAAAAATGTCAGGAGATTTTACATTTAAGGCATTTCACAACATGAAAAGTGGTTTCTATACACTGCATGTCAAGTTGAAATGTTTGCATATGCTTCATGTTAGAGCTTGTATTAAATAGTGCAGATATTTTTCAAGTTCAAACTTTTCAAAAGGATCCCTGAAAACTGGTTTATAATTATAATACAGACTTCTGCAATCAGACTGACCATCAATTAAATGGCTTTAGTTTAAGAATATGAGATGTATACAATATATTTTGTAGATTTATAGTTACTCCTAAGTTATTACTCAATCATACAGTTTGTGTAATCTCTAAATGTCATTTAACATCTGTTCTTCATTGAGTCTGTAAATCTTAACAAATTTAAACCATCATCACACAAATGATTTACAACGATCATTGGTAACACTTTATAATAACTACACACATCTATTAGGCTTTAGCAAATAGTGAATTTATTATCTGTTAATCATTAACTCTACATCAACAGACGTTAGTAAGCAGTTTATTAAAACAGCTACAAATGCTGTATTCTTGACTTAATGATTGTATTTTCATACTTTATAACTTATTAATTGTTCATTACTAAATTCAGATTTGCATCATTTACAAGCTATTTTTTATTTAAGAGTAGTTTAGGCTTTTAGAATAATTCAGAATGAGTTAATAAATTATTAATAAACTTTTGAAATCAACATTTATATATTTTATTATTCAGGCATATAGTAATGGTTACTATGTATGTTAATAAATGCTATTATTATCTCAACATCCAGTTTTGTGACCAAGTCTAAACCTAGACCTAGACTATTTATGCTTTGTAAAACACTTACAAATGACAATTAAAGGCTTAGTGTCAAGTGAACAATAAACAATAAAATTACTGTGAACTTTAAACATTGTCGAATAACAGGAGTGTCAAAATACAATTAGAAAAAAATACAATCAAATAAAAATGGATAAAACAACAACAATATATTAATTTAACTATATATTATGATACAACATTTCAAAGTTATTTAGCGATGTTCAAATTTCACAGTAATTTTATTTTACAATACAAATAATTGAGAAGATTTATTTTTCATTTGATACAGTTTTATTTGTGCATCTCCAAATTAATAGAAATGAATAAAGTCATTTTTTTTCCTTGTTTAGAATTCAGCTGAGCCTTTAACTGTAGCTTGTGAGGGATTTATAAAGAATAAATAGTCCTTACTTTAGATTGTGTCATAAAACTGGACGAAGTGAACTTAATAAAGCATTTATTACAAACCAGCTAACTATTAGTATATGCCTGAACAATAAGATATATGAATGTTAATTTGGCGACGCAGTGGCGCAGTAAGTAGTGCTGTAGCTTCACAGCAAGAAAGTTGCTGGTTCGAGCCTAGGCTGGGTCAGTTGGCGTTTCTGTGTGGAGTTTGCATGTTTTCCCTGCATTCGCGTGGGTTTCCTCTGGGTGCTCTGGTTTCCCCCACAGTCCAAAGACATGGAGTACAGGTGAATTGGGTAGGCTGGGTGAGCTGTCCATAGTGTATGAGTGTAAATGAGTGTGTGTGGATGTTTTCCAGAGATGGGTTGTAGCTGGAAAACGAGCTGGATAAGTTAGCGGTTCATTCCACTGTGGTGACCCCAGATTAATAATACTATGCCGAAAATAAAATAAATGAATGTTAATTTGAATAGTTTAATAATTTACTTATGCATTCTGAACGATCTTAAAATAGCACTAACTATTCTTAATTAACTAATTTGTAAATAATGCTGTACTTAAGTAATGAAAAAATTATCTTTAACGATGCATGAAAATACAATCATTAAAAAGTGTGCTTATAAGTGAAGAAAACAGCATTGTTAGCTGTATTTACCAACTGCTTACTAACGTCTATTAATGTAGAGTTAATGCTTAACAAATAATGAATTAACTATTTGCTAATGCTCAATAAATGATTTATGGCATGTAGATATTATAAAGTGTTACCAGTTCATTAAATAAGTAAAAAAAAAAAATTAAATTAATAAAACCATTTTACAGACAATAGTTAAAAAACACAAAAACAGATCCAGCAGGTAAATTTATACCTGTAAGTCAATTATTATTAAAAGTGAATTGCTGCTATTATTATCATTAGCTATTATTCAAATACATTTAAAACTCCAAGGTAAAACTGCACAAAAGATATGGTAAGGAAAGACATGTTCTTGACATTTCAGGACTGAAGCACCAAAGCAAAATAACAAGAGGACTTAATCTTATCACAACAGGTAAAGAAGACCTTGCACGTTATTCTGGAAAAATCACATTTTCACTATTATTGAAAAATCACTATTATTTACACAAAACTATTAAATATTACTTTTATCTGCTTGTAAACAAAGCAGCACAATTTTACATCAAATGCAGCCTTAAGCCTTAAAGTGCAAAGAAATCTGACTAAAATCTGACTAAAAATAGACTTAAATCAATTAAAAGCCAATTAAACCATACTTCTTGCTTTCATTCCTTTTTTACAGCACTATATTGTCAATTATTTAGCAGGATAAAAAAATAGAAACAGAAGTACACTAACTTTCTGCGATTCAGGCGTGATAATTTACCCTACAGGGGTACAGTGTCTCACAAATGTCTTGTTGTTTATCCCAGTTGTAAGAGCAACAAAAATAACTTGAATTCTAGTTGATCATTTTGGTATCAGAAGTGGCTTATATGAGAGGCAAAGGCCTCTAGATTACGGTTATTTTACCAAAATAAAATATGATCATGCCTTGATTTTAAATTTAATTAGGACAGTAAGGTCTGACTCTGCTAAGACAAAAGTTTTGACACTTAACAGAAATAATGTACAGTATAGAATATAAAGTGATGGTGCAGTGCGCAATTAATATTGTGTATGACTCCCATGAGCATGGAGGACTGCATTCATACATCTCTGCAATGACTCAAATAACTTATTAATAGTCATCTGGAATGGCAAAAAATCGTTCTTGCAGGACTCCTAGAGTTCATCAAGATTTTTTTGGATTCATCTTCAGTGCCTCCTCCTTCATCTTACCCCATACATGCTCAATACTGTTAATGTCTGGTGACTGGGCTGGCCAATCCTGCAGCAGCTTGACCTTCTTTGGTTTCAGGAACATTGATGTAGAAGCTGAAGTATGAAAAGAAGCGCAATCCTGCTGAAGATCTGGTCTCACCTGTGGTTTGTAATGTAATGTAAAAATCAAACCATGATTTTTCCTTCACCAAACTTGACTGATTTCTATTCGAATCTTGGGTCCATGCGGAATCCAATAGGTCTTTTACAGTATTTGTGATGATTGGGATGCAGTTCAACTGATGATACATCAGATGAATCAAATGATCAACTAGAAGTCAAGTTATTATTTGTTGTTCCTACAACTGGGATCGACGACAAGACTTTTGTATACATCTTTAAAATTAAAAAAAAATTAACTGAAATTAACCACATTTCCTGAATATAGATACAAAATTGTTGTTTTTTTATTTAAGTCTACTTAGTTTCTCACTATAAAAAACTTTTTAAAAATTCAAAAATGTATGGTCTGCATATTTTTTCCTTATTCAATAAGAAATCATTTGAAATCAGAAGAATATACTTGTATAAAATAGCCTTTTAAATTGTGATGCTTCAGCACAGTTTAAGGTGTAAAATACAATCCCATTTTATTTCTTAGATTACAATAAGCACTCCAATGTACAGTAAAGTGTCTTTTACGACATACATTTAGTTACATTGAGACAACATTTTATGCATGTTTTAAATAAATTAAAATATTATCCACGACATAATCTGGGATATAAACATTTAAGGAAAGGTAAGCAATATAAAATAAACAATGATTTGCACTCACTAAAATAACAATCTTTCAGCATTTTATTTTATGGTAAACACCAAAAAGACAAAGCCAGATGAAAGAGATATGAAATGATTCAACCAGGTGTTGAAGAAGACTAAGAATGTGTTCACACTTGTAGTTTGGTTCTCTTAGTTGATTTGTTCCAAAAAAGAAAATTATGCATTTAATCCAGCTCACTATGCATTGACATTGTTCTTTTAGATACGATTGAACCTATTAATATCAAACCTTTAAGCTTAATTTCAAAGACTTTCTTATTTGTCCACCAAGCACGCTTGTGTTTAATAGATGGTTGCCAGGATATGCCATTCCCCCTTTTTGTAAGATAAACAGTTTTTTCTGCATTAAATCAAGTGATTGTGACTTCACAACCTGTTTCTGATTCATTTTCAGATCTTAAGTTGATGCTAAGTGGACATTTCAGTCAAACCGAACTAGTTTGTTTGGAAGCTAACCAGGACTCTCCTAGTGGCCCAAGTCTGTCTGTTTGGTGAAACTCTCGATTTTGTATTAAGCTTGTTTTAATCAAACCAAATGTGCCAGGTGTGCCCACACCCCAAGAGCAAGTGTGCTATGGTACTTTCTAGACGCAGCCTTTAAAATACATGAAATGTGGTTTTATAGTGATCAGTGCAACTCAAATGTGCTTTTTTTGTCACATTAATCTATATACTGTATATGTGTGTATGTGTGTTAAAGTTAAGAAAATTGCAGAAAGTTTGGTCAAAAGTGCTCAGTGTCTTTTTTTTCTCAATGTATTGAACATTGCCAATACTATGAAACTTTAAATGACCACAACAACTAAATAAAAGAAACAATACAAGCATAATAGTGTGAAATACTGCAAAAACATTGCAATTACTCCATGAAAGTTTTGCAAATGCGGGAACTTCTAACTTCTTCACATTTGCGATATTCAGTCAGAAATCTGTCTGGTCCATCATACATTTCTTAGTGTTATGAAATATACATGTAATAATATATTAGTGTTGAAAAAACATTCATGTGCAATAGTCAGACAAAGTGTAAGATATAAAACTGAATTCCACGTACCTGCCAGACACTTTCCATTCTGTTAATGTAGAAAGAACAGCAAAATCATAAGAAACCAAATCTGTTCATTTGCTGCTTCTACATGAGTCCACAGCATGGCTCTTTTGTATTGGTTGTTTCCTCTTCTGGTGCTTTGAGCTTCAGCAGAGGTGGATCTCCACTAGCCTGGGTAAAGTACACAGCATTAGGAGCTACAACCTGTTGTACTGATTCGGAGGGCTCCAGCGTCCCTGGAGGCCCCTCAGGGACAGGCTCATCCTGTGTGCCTGCAGACAAGGGTAAAGGTGGTGCTGGATGCTTATTCAGTTTAGCTGCAGCTCTCTGTCGTTTGAGATCTGCGAGTGTGTGGTGAGATCTCTCTCTGCTCATGCTGTCCCCGCCAGCAGAAGCTGAACCTGGAGAGAGCTGATAGGAGGCGCTGCGATCCATGAGCCCCCCGCTCTGGAGTTCTCCTGAAAATGAACCTGTGCTACCGTTCCCTATAACTTGGGCTCCATTTTCCACCTCGCCAACGTCTAATGGAGGAACAGCGATGGCATTAGAGCTGGACATCTAAATCAAAAGAGGGAAAAAATACAAGAAAATCCATCAAGAATAGTCAAGGCACAAATACATGACTAAGCTCTCAATAAACACAAGATCAGTTCACATAATCATCCCATTATTTGGGCGTAGATTTAGGGTGGATGGAGGTGATGTGTCCCCACCAATATCCACTGAGACATAGAAATGTCCCAACAAATAATTTAATCCACTTTAAAAAAAAATTGCGATGTCAACATTGACCTAGACACGCAGGTTAAATCACGTTTTTTCCTTAAGTCCTACCGCCCCCAAAACAAACATGGACATTTTGATTGGCTGTGCCTTTCCATGCTATTATGTGAGAGGCTGTGGCTGTGTTCAGATACAAGCAGCGACAAATGAAGTGGATTGTTTTGTTTTTTCCTGTGCCAGAATAAGGTGTGTTGGGTGACACACGAGTGAGGATGATGGCAAAAAAAAAAAAAAAAAAAAAGGTGAACATAAGGAGCATTTTTCAACGAAATTGTAAGTCACATAAACGCAAGTTCGCTACTGAATGAGCCCATCATGATAACGCCGTTAATGCTCGTGTTTTCCCTGGCTTTAATGCAGTCTGTTGTTGTAGCAGGCTGATATAGGCTAGTCTGCGATATTTAATTAAAAAAAAAAAAAAAAAAATATATATATATATATATATATATATATATATATATATATATATATATATATATATATATACACACACACACACACACACAGAACAGTTCTGTCTGGTTCTCAAATCTGATTGGCTGATAGCCGTGCAATATTCTGCAATATCAGAACTCCTACAGCCTCTTTACCCTTTGTGTATTACTCCTCCCACATACAGCCAGCAAAAAGCAGACACTACAGATCTAAAGTTTAAATGATGCTTGCTCAACTGTTTAGCTGTCAGCTTATGATTTGAATCCGGAAGAAAGTAGTTCCTCATACAAAAGGGTTTTTGAGACTCTCCATGTTTGATTTTGTTTTTATATACACAATTATGTCGTCAAACTGTTGTATAAACACAATATCACACTCGTAGCAGCGAGATATGGCTGTATATCGGCACTGGTGGGGGCACTAAGGGGCACTAAAAAAAACTTTTTTGCAGTTATTTGTCTGACTTTCCATTTAATTATGCATAATATTGCATTTTAGTAACATTTTAAAAAACTAATGCTTGCTGGGTTATCGTGTTGGATGGTTATAATAACCACACTTTTTGATGTACCAAAAAATACTTTCAACCATTCTGTCAAATTGCCAAACTACCGTTTTAAGTGTTTATTTACAAGTGTGCATTTAAACTGTAAGTTTTATATTATAGTTATATAAATAATGAACATTTTGAATAAAAAATATGAAAAGATACTTATTTATTACTTTCCTCAGTCAGAATTTGCCTATTTTGATAATGATGGGAAAAATTTTAAAATAATAATAATAGTCTAACTTTTGGTCTTTCGAACCACCCAAACCCCCTTGGCTACAGGCCTAAAACTTACAAAAAAAACTGATTAACGAGTGGATTAGTAGTATATTTTAATAGCAGTTAAATAAATAATAGCGCATATATATATATATATATATATATATATATATATATATATATATATATATATATATATATATATATATATATATATATATATATATATATTTTTTTTTTTTTTTTTTTTTTTTAAAGTCTTCCATATCTAAGTCTATGTCCTTTAAAATCATAGAAATACTCACTTTAGAATGCGTTTTTGTTTATTTTTGTTCTGTGGTGTCATCGTATTCCTAAATTTCATTCATAAAGTGGCCTGGTTGGTCTTAAACCCTGGTCAGACCATATGATTTTTATTGTTAGTTACGAATGTCACAATGTCAGATTATGCGATTTTGTCTCGATAAAATCTTGACTTGTCATAACAAATGTGCCAGGCTACATGTTCCTTCACAGTCAGCCATGATGTCTATGATTTTCCAAAGCAGTCACAAGTGTTGCTATAACAATATTTCTCATCTCAATTTCAATTTCTTTTTCTTATTATTTTAATCTCAATAAACAATAATGCTGGCTGAAAACTAGGCTCCATTATTTAAATATTTATTTTTATTATTTCTAATGACATTGATCAAATCAAACATATATATCCTTTTATAATAAAAGCACATATATGACAGAGGTTTGTAATACAACAATTACAGTGAAGCATTAATTAAATCCTTATTTTCCACAGAGCATAACAAACTATAACCACAGGGTTGAGTAGACTGGCTCAAAAAAAATAATAAATAAATAAAATTATATATATATATATATATATATATATATATATATATATATATATATATATATATAAAAGTGAAAAATTCACAGTATCAGAGAAATCTATATTTATTGACAAATTCATCCATTGCCGGTGAGTTATAATTTAATTAAATCGAGTAATTTGAATAAGCAAGACAGGCTTTTACAATGTATTAGCAGCACTGAATGTGTTTCCAGACTACCTCGAAAGAACAAACTCGGTTGGAAGTATAAAAGAACTCAAAACTCATTCTGAGAATAGAGATGTCTGCACATTTGTGCCAGTCTCTCAGATAAAATTGCTTTAAACATTTTAAAATTTTATAGAAAGTACTTCAAGTTTGCATTACCAATGACTGATCTTATTCCCCCAAGACCCACCCATAACGGCATCATCGTGGATATAACTGAGAAAAATTATGTACTCCTATTGTCCAACTAAACATGCTAGACTTTCTGCGATGGTGTCATAAGGCATCACAGACATTGTATCAGTTGTCGTGAAATATGCCACATTACATGATAAGGAATAATTGAATCTTGATTCATGACGCCCACTTGTCATTTAAGACTCCTCACAACACCCTACATCAAGGAAATTGTGCCGAAATAGTGTGATCTGACCCTGGCTTTAGACATGTTTCACCAACATACAAGATATAATCAGTTTTTCTTTGTGGATGAAGATTTAAAATGCTATCAACCTAAATATTAACTAAAATCTTTATAAAAAAAAAAAAAGTTATAATTTAGCATTTAAACCATGATGCATTGTGCCATATTTACATCTGTAAAAATAGATAGATAGACAGACAGACAGGTATACATTTGATTTATAATTGTAACAAAGTCAAGCAAACATATTAATTTAGCTATCAGAAATGGGTGAATGAAAGTAGTACTACTGCATGCATGTTGACTAAACAGTTCAAAATAATAAGGGCACAATATACTTAAAATGTGCATTTGTAGAACATAACCTCTGTAGACCATAAATGTACATATACATATATTTCTTATGGTAGCAGTAACTATAATTGGTATATAATGGGTAAATAATATGTCAAATACAATGTGAGTTTATTAAATGTTTTTTATATCCAAAGTAGCAAAACTTTATCTTTATTTAATGCGTTTTTTTATGACTTTGTGAATTTAATGCTTTAAAGAGCCCATATTATACATGAAATAGGGTCATATCCTGGTTGTAAGGGTCTCCAACAACAGTCTAATATGCATGCAAGGTCAAAAAACACTTTCATGGTCTTATAATCTGCATTTATTTTTAGCTAATTATCCCAGCGACTCCTGTATGAATCGTCCAGTGATTCATTTGTTCCCAAACCCCTCCTTAGCGCGGAGCTAATCTGCGCTGATTGGACCGATGACAGTCTGTCGCGATTGGTCGACTGCCTTCAGTCAGAGAGGGAAATGGCCAATAGCTAATCAGCAATTTAAACGTGGATTTTAGCTGCCACACTATGGCGAGTGGATAGTGCCACGGATAACCGAACGAAGGAGACAGTCGTGTACTCGCCATACCACACACACACACACACAAAAACACACACACACCTCCGGATGACAACGCTCCCGCTTCCGCCCGCACCCGCCAGGTTTTAGCCTGAAAACCCGCTCCGTTTTCTGCCCGCCGCGCCCGGTCCCCGGCCCGGAGCGGAGAACACAACCAAAAATCACCCAGTATACAGTCCAGACAGCCAAGCTGTCTGTTTAGGTATAAACACACACACACAGCACAAAGCTCGTTCGTTCGTTCGTTCGTTCGCTCTCTCTCTCTCTCTCTCTCTCTCATACGAGCGCGTGCGCACTAACACACACACACAAGCACCACGCAGACTCTCTCTTTCTAATTCGCATATCTGTGATATTGCTAGACAGCCCGCTCCCGTCCCAAATTAAACCCGTTACCGACCGCTCCCGCGATTTATTCGGAAATTTATTCCCGCGGCTGTCCCCGCGCCAGATTTCTGCGGCGCGGGAATAAATTTCCGAATAAATCGCGGGAGCAGAACTCTAGCACGGAGCTCCATAAACAAACAGCACGCGTCGCGTTTTTAACGTGACTTTGCACGCGATAAGATAAAATATCCAGTTAACCTGATACAGTACACGCGGTTACAAGTAACAAATCACAACTAAATACATTTGCAAGCAAGAGTAAACGAGGCAACAACTTTAACCGCACATACTTACACTTGAGAAATGTAGGAAGAAACCCATCCTGACGTCCATCAGTTACTCTTTACTGATCCTTCCTTTAACAAACTCAGATGAAGTATTCTTTGTAGCATGTAGCTTCCAGAAGTTTCCAACTGCTTGGTTATAATGCTGATGTTTCATCTTTGGGTAGAGACTCAATATAATGTCCATCTGCAGTGTGACTTCAATCGACCGGCATGTTTGTGTGCGTGTGTTTGTGGGTGTGCGTGTGTTTGTGGGTGTGTGGGTGTGCGTGTGTGTCTGGGTTTCTGCGTCAGAGGGCGGGGCTTCAGGTTTGAAATCTCCCGGGTTTGCGCGTGCACGTGAATAACTTGGTTTCGTTCGTACGTCATGGCGGAACACCTAATGAGTCGGTATCAAGGCGACTCGTTTGAAGCACTATGAGTCGACTCTTTTATAGATGAATCAACCGTTTTAAACACTGTATTCTTACAGATTTAAGCCTTAGCTGGATACTTCACTTCACTTAGAGCTGTGTTACACACTACATGGAGGGGAATTTTCAAAAACCCATAATATGGGCTCTTTAAAGAGCAGTTTTAGACTGTAATGTTTTAATCTTTCTAATTTGTCAGCTACTATAACTGATAAATGGTAAAACATTTTTCAAAAAAATTCCACTGCATCATATTGCATCTAATTGCATTGTGTTGAATCAAGGGGCATATCATATTATTAGGGCTGTCAAAATTTGCACGTTACTGAGTTACTGAGTTTTTAGTTACTCTCCAAAAAAGTTGCGTTACGTTACTTTTGTGTTACTTTTTCTGACCTTGTTCAGGCTTGATCTATTTCAGAATAGTGTGGGGTATTTCTTGACATAAATGAACGTAGGATACATGTTATATTTAAAAAGTAACTCTAACATTATTTGAATTTATAATATCATATTAATTTATAAAAGTAATGCGCTACTTTACTCGTTACCCAGAAAAATAATAGTATTACTTGTAATGTGTTACCCTCAACACTGGTTATACATGACAAATTCGGTTATGTATCGCGTATCATATTTGCCTCAGTTCTAAGATGTACTTAAGAGTTTAATTTTCTGTTGAACACAAAAGATAATATTTTGAAGTATGCTGAAAGCCTATAACGATCGACTTCTATAGTAGCTAAAAAAAAATGCTATGGAAGTCAAGGGTTACAGGTTTCCAGCTTTCTTTAAAATATCTTCTTTTCTCACGGCAGAAAAATAAACCCATAAAGCTTTGAAACAAGTAAAGAGTAAGTGAATAAAAGCTTTTTTTTTCTGTAAACTATCCCTTTAAAACTATGGTAGTCACATTTCTTACAACTGGCCTTAAATAATTACATTTCTCACCAGTGAAGCATGCAGGTTTAATTCTGCATCTGTTTGTCTGTCTTCATCATCATCCAAGGCTTCTGTTTGTCTTCCTCTCTCCTGCCACACCTTGGCTTCCTTCTGATGCTCTCTACGGTAGAGACTGCTACGCTCATTCACACTGCTGCGCCTCACTACTTTTCTGCAAACAAAAAAGCACACAAAGAAGAGCTCATATACCATTGCCAAAGAGTTTTGTTAAAGTTAAAATTGTTTATGTTTTTTTTGTGTTTTGACACAACACAATACATAAATAGGCTATATATATTTTTTTTATTATATTATTTTCAATCTACCTAATCTAACAATTAGACCTCTGTGTTTTTCCTGACTGATATTGCAATTACGATTTGATTTGTAATGCAATTTGTTTGTATATATGGCTTTTATCATGTATGGTCTACACTCCAAAACGCTTTACAATGTTGGCGGGGGTGGGGGGTGATACTCTTGGTTCGCGACTCAAAGTTTGCAATGGTATGCAGCACACACTTTAAATGAACAAAACTGTATGTATATATGTATATGTATATATATGCGTTAAAAAAAAATTACGCAATTAACGCAGTTGCCGGGTTTTTTTTTCCTGTTGTGTTCAACGTGTTCAACATGTGATTAATTTTCCAAAAAAGTGTGATTAATTAGTAAATTTTTTTCAATCAATTGACATCACTAATATATATATATATATATATATATATATATATATATATATATATATATATATATATGAGCAATATCACACTCGTAGCAGTGCGATATGGCTGTATATCGGCACTGGTGGGAGGTGTGTGTGCCTTCATGCCCCCCCCCCAGTGCCAATATACAGATATATCGCACTGCTACGAGTGTGATATTGCGCTTATACAACAGTTTGACAACATAATTGTGTATATAAAAACAAAATCAAACATAGAGAGTCTCAAAAAACCTTTTGTATGAGGAACTACTTTCTTCCGGATTCAAATCATGAATTCAAATCAATCAAAGCTGACAGTTAAACAGTTGAGCAAGCATCATTTAAACTATAGATCTGTAGTGTCTGCTTTTTGCTGGCTGTATGTGGGCGGGGTCATACACAAAGGGTAAAGAGGCTGTAGGAGTTCTGATATTGCAGAATATCGCACGGCTATCAGCCAATCAGATTTGAGAACCAGACAGAACTGTTTTATATATATATATATATATATATATATATATATATATATATATATATATATATATATATATATAAATATACATATATATTTTTTTTTAACTGCATATAAATATAGCCTATATACAGTGTGCGCATCTTTTAGAATCTTTTGTTTATGTATTCTTTGAAAATGCACAAAATGTGGGGACAAGCTTTCCCTTTTGCCTATTATAATTTTTCACGGTATGTCAATTTTTTTGATTTACGCAACATTGAACAGTAATTTGATCCCACAATGCCTCGCCATTTAAGTTTTAGATATAATGTTTTTTTTTTAAATATATTTACAGAGCAAAATTTATAAAACATCTTCATGGAACATGTTTACTTAATTTTTTAATGATTTCTGGCATAAAACATAAACCAATAATTTTGACCCATACAATGTAATTAAAATTTTGTAATATAAGACTTTTTCCAAGACTTTTAACATTTTTATAACATTTTAACATAAGGTTTTGTGGTCCAGTGTCACAAATGTGCATTTGTGTTTTATGAAAAATCAGTACAATCTAAGTCAGTGGTTCTTAACTGGTTTGGCCGTGGGACCCACATTTTTACATGGTCATCAAGCCACGACCCAAATTTATAGGAATTATAATATAATTTTAGGAATTATAATTCATTTGTATTTATTTGTTAACATACACAAGTAGTGTCAGATAAATCATAGGAAAATTACCAAGACTTACAAATAAAAATATTTTATTACTGTCAATAAAAAAAAAATGTATTTAACAAAAAAATTCTAGAAATATTACAGATAAACATGTCAAATACAGTAAACAAAGGTTAGAGTAAGGAAAATTTCAGTTACCATTAACTAAATGAACAGCTAATAAAACATTAACACTGATCTTGTTGAACAGAACAATTAAAGCAAACTGAAGTAAAATGATTAAAACAATCAAAACAATTTTTGTAATAAATCACCAGTTATTGGCTCTTCTTGTATTGTGTGGGCTTTGTTGGCCTTTGCTACACGGTGAGCACAGTAAGATGTGCGGAGTGCCTGTACTTGTTTTGAACATGAAGATGTTAGGCACTTTTGTGATGCCCTCAGCTTTTGGAGTCACCTTTAAAAATATTCCACAGGTTTGTCCTTGCAACTGGGATGTTTGTTTCCTAAACGTTGTTTTAATTTAGAAGGTTGATAAACTAAGGTGACATACTGAGGTTTTGAGCCTTTTTTGTTGTCAATATATGTAAATCCATACTTTACATATTTGGGGTCGTACTTGCGATTCGACATATTTATTGCTCTAATTAAATGAAATATCACATGTCAAACAGTACGGTTCTCGTGTATGTATTTCAAAATAAAAGTTCAATATAAGCAAAATAAGTTAAAAATTTAACTTTTTTTGTTTTTTTACCACACACTTCGCGACCCACTGAAAATGTTCCCACGACCCACTCTAAAATGTTAAATTTACTGTTTAGTTAACTTATATTTAAAAAGTCAACAACAAAAATATTATTTAATAAAATAAGAATTTTTTTTTAAATTTTTTGGGTTCTGGTGTGCATTTCGCAAACAACTACGTAACTCGCGGCTGAACTATCATAGTACGATGCATCAGTTAGGAAAAGAACGATGTAGTGACGAGTGTTACACAAAACCAGTAGTTTCTCTGACGCAGATCTATCATTTGAACCACATTAGTTATAATGTAAAACGGCCATAATGATGCTCCAAACGTGGTGGTAACAACTTCTCCATTATTTTATTCCCCATTATTTCTTTGTGCAAATTATACTGTTTTACACACACATGCATTAAAAAAATCCAATAGTTTTGGTAAAAACATGCACCTGTTTTTCATATTAATTTAAATTTATGTAAATAGCACATATAGGGCCTGTTTCCTTTACAAATATTATTGAGAACATTCCACATTTTATTCTAAAATATAAAATCACTTACAAAAAGCTAACACGTATTCTAATCTCATATATAAATCATATAAATAAATAATGAGGCTATTTATTAAGAAATTAAACTTAATATTTATTAGGAAATGTAAAAAATCCTACTTTAATAATAATATTAATATTAATGATGATAATGATAATTATTAAGTAGGATATATATATATATATATATATATATATATATATATATATATATATATATATATATATATATAATTTTTTTTTTTTTTTTTTACTAATTGAAAAGTCTACTTTTACAATTTTACACATGCAAACCACTGCAGAAATGTTCTAACCAACAGGTCGATGTCATATACAGCACAAATACTTAATAAATAACCTACTATAAATTAAATGATTAATGTATGCTATGTTTTTATTTTCACAAGCTTTGGAGACATAACATAAATTCTGCTTTTAAATAATAGGTCACCTATAGCTTTCGTCATGAGCAACGACTGTGTTGAAAATTACATCAATGTTTCCAAAGTGCACTGCAAAGGAATTGCAATTGTAAACATTAAGATCGCTAAAATTGAACTGTAAAAATACTTTAAAATCAAATTACACCTAAGAGTGCTGATTCCCAGTTTAAATGTCAGAATGTTCCAAACGAACAGGGCATGGGGGATAACTGGGGATACAACACAGCTAGGAACTATGTTTCTAACTACAGCTCCAAAGGTGTAGTTGTAGGCATACAAGTTTGTAACAATGGAACTTGCAACCTTAATTGGTTAATGATGGTTTTCAGAAACGCACCCTGGGTTTTCAGTTTCAGCCCAGAATTTTCACTTTTAGTACATCTCTACAAAAAAAAAAAAAAAATGTTTTTTAAAAACTGTCACTGTCACTATGGAATACAGTTTTGTTACATAGGCATAGGAACAGTTTCAAGGTAACCGTGGTTTGGAAAAGTCAAAGATTTAAAACCAAAAGAAATTCTGTTATACCGTTCATACGGTATATGTACGATTTTTTTAACATGTTTATTTTGTTTGTTTTTTTAGGACAACAGTATCTCCAGCAGAAAAATATATCCAAAGATGCCCTTTTCAAGAAATCTATGTTTTTGAAACTAATGAAAAGAGCAGAAGTCAATTATTTATTTTAAATATTTAGCCTGACATGTTTACACTTGCAAAATATTTTAAATGTTTCTTAGAAATACGATTTATTGTATTCAAAGGGGGAAAAGTTTTAGTTTTTTACCCAAACATGTAAAAAGAACATATTTTAGAGCAATAATCACAATACCGTGATACCGAAACTGTGTGAAACTGTGATATTTTTCATTTATTCATTAATTTTTTTCTGGTTTAGTCTCTTTATTAATCTGGGTCCGCCACAGCGGAATGAACCGCCATCTTATCCAGCACATGTTTTAGGCAGCGAATGCCCATTCAGCTGCAACCTATCTCTGGGAAACATTCATACACACTCATACACTACGGACAATTTAGCCAACCCAATTCACCTGTACCGCATGTCTTTGAACTGTGGGGAAAACCAGAGCATCTGGAGGAAACCCACGCATGGAGAACATGCAAACTCCACACAGAAACGCCAACTGACCCAGCCGAGGCTCGAACCAGTGACCTTCTTGCTGTGAGGTGACAGCACTACCTACAGCGCCACTTTGCCGCCTCTGATATTTTTATCCAAGGTTATCATACCATCAGAAACTTATAACGGCCAACGTCTAGTTGTTAAAATGCTTTATTTGACTGTCCTCTTGAGTACTCACCCTCTGCTGCCAGTGCTGGACACCCGTCTCTGCAATGTGTTCTTGTGTTTGTCCTGACCCTTCATAATGGCATCATGTTTATGTTTCAACTCCATCATTTTGGCCCGGACCTCCTCATCAGTGCACACATCTGCAAAATAACAGAAAAGCGTTGTGAAGCCTTCAGTCCAGAAATTTCTGATTACAAATACTGTAAAAGATGCGTTTTACCCAGAGGTGTCTCATCCAACTCAGACTTGGCATTTAAACTTGCACCATGAGCCACCAGCAGCTCCACCATCTGGATCTACAGGAGCAGATAGACAACCACTATTACTATATATAACTGTATACTATTTATTGCACACTAAATAGAAGGCCAGGTCAGAAAATATAAAACAAACAATTGAAAATGTCAGCCATGAACCTAGTGTCCTTTATCCACATGCTCTGGCAAGATATACTCAGTAATCACTTTGAATTAGTTGTACAGTTAAAAAAATAATAGTTATCCGAATAATGACATAAAAATAAACTAATTACTGTGCATTTACATAATGGGATTATAAATATATTAACTACAAAGTAAATATACCTGTTTTCTGTAAAGTATTAAATAAAAAATTGTATTTACAAAGATGGAATGTTAAGGCTACTTTGGTAACTAAATGTGTCAGTGTTCACCTGTCCCCAGCAGGCGGCAGCATGGAGTGGTGTCCAGCCATCAGCATCTCTCTCATCAGGAGACAACCTGTGCTCAAGCAACAGCTCCCCGACTGACATGTATCCATTAGCAGCTGCTACATGCAACTACAGAAACAAACCACACGTTTTTTTTAGACTTTGCAATATTATAAATCAGTGGTTCTCAAACTTTTTATTGAGTACTGGACCCCCCCCCCCCCCCTCCACCCCCCAAACATGACTCTCAAGCCCAGTGATATCCTTAGTAGGGCATGGGGGCCAAAGTGGCCCATTGTAATCTTTGATCTGTCTGAGAGGAAAGTGAGAATGGTAGAAAGGGTTGGTGCGAATTTGATGTAACCTTTTTTTGTTTTAAAGTTTCGATACATTGTGTAGCGCTAATCTTAATCATAATACAAACATCTATGCATGAATGGTTAATTTTTAATACATTTTTCAACCAGCTCACAATTGTCTGATTTAAAGCAGATTTTTTACCTCAATTTATACACACTTAAAGTCAAAAGTTGGAGGTCAAACTTTTTTTAAAAAAAAAAGTTAAATTGTTAAATATTTATTTAAAAAAAATTATAACTGCTTTCTTATTGTATGTAATTTCAAATGAAATTATTACTTCAGTCATTAATGCTTTTTATTACTATTACCATAATAATAATAATAATAATAATAATAAGAAGAAGAAGAAGAAGAAGAAGAAGAAGAAAAAGAAGAAGAAGAAGAAGAAGTAGAAGAAGAAGAAGAAGAAGAAGAAGAAGAAGAAATAATATTAGGGCGACGCAGTGGCGCACTAGAGAGTGCGATCGCCTCACAGCAAGAAGGTTGCTGGTTCGAGCCTCGGGTGGGTCAGTTGGCATTTCTGTGTGGAGTTTGCATGTTCTCCCTGTGTTTGCATGGGTTTCCCCCGGTTGCTCCGGTTTCCGCCACAAGTCTAAAGACATGCAGTACAGGTGAATATATTACATGTTTTGTATTAAATTAAGACCCAGATTATGACTACCTCAGTTAATCACTTTGATTCATTCAAAATATGCACTGACCTCTGTCTGTCATCTTAAAAACATTTAAGCGCATGCCTATATGGTTTGTATGTCCTTTTAAAATACAAAACAGTATTATATTGTTCCATAAAGCACTCATATATGTGTACTCATACATTTTCACTGGAGGAAATTGCTTTAATGTGATGAGGAACAGACACTGCAAAAACTATATTAGCATTAAAATTAACATTAGAAAGGAAACCAACAGCTCAACCATAACATTTTGTAAACTGTTTGTATAACAAAAAACTGCACAGATGCTGAACAATCTTACAAATCTATAAAAACACACCTTGCTTTCAGTTTCTGTTCTGTGCCACTGCTGTGCACTGAAACATGGGGAGAAGCTAAAGCAAAAATTGAAACGGGCAGAGGCGTTCCAGAATTTGTATACAGTTTATGGAACTTAAAAAAGGTGTCTGACATGGGGCTGCATAATATTGGAAAAATCTGACATTGCGATATTTTGTTTTGCTGCGATATACACTTCAATACAAATATAATTTCAACATATGATTTGAAAAGCTCATTGATTTAGATTGACTAGGATGATCAAGTCTTTTTTCTGCAGCGCTACTGCATAAAATATAATAGAATACAAGGAAATATAAATATGACAGACCCTAAATAAATAAAAAAAACTGTGGTTTATGGGAGTTTCTGGGAGTCTAACACTGATAAAATAGATTACAGAAATTGAACAATGATCAAAGCTAAAATAACAATATTGAAATGATATGTTTGTCTTTACATATTTAATAAATAATAAAATTTTGTGATGTGACCACTGCGGATAGACACATTGTGATATCGATGCTTAAATAGTATATTGTTCAGCCCTAGTCTGAAATAAAAAGCCAACATAAAATAATCTATTAATGTCACTGTTTAAATAAATTTTGTACTGATTCTATGGACACCCTGAAATTACACCACCGTTCATGTTCCCCCAGCGAAAATACACTAATAAATGATCATCCTGTCTGCCTGCACTTTATCTTACCATAGTTGCTCCCTGCTCATCCTTCACATTCAGATCAGCTCCATTTGTTACCATCTCTCGAAGGTCAGTGAGCATCACCCTCTCCTTGGCTCCACGGCATTCGTCAATTTTCTCCTGAGTAATCCCTAAATACAAACATGCAGACAATAGACTTATGTGAACTGTTAAGGAAATCGCAATTTAAGTATAGTGACTACTGACTAAAACCAATCTATGAAATTAATGTATAAATGCTAATAGAGCAATTGACAATATGCCATTATCATTTAGTTTAGCCTATCCTCTTATAGTGACAAGTAGCCTGCATTATACCGATTTCCCCTTGAAACACAACTAAGATGTAAACTTTTTAAACAAGTATCCATAATAAAAGATAGTTTAGCTGTCAAACTGTATTACTGATTCTGACTTGCCCTTTCTCTCTGCTTTAAAACACAGCTTTTTGCAAAATTCAAATGGGTCCAATATGTTTGTGGTCCATGCCGACTCTTAATCGACTCTGTGTTGCTGTTTCTCTGGGAAGAAACACAACACACCTGCATGCTGTGGTGGTTCAAGTGAAACTAACACAAAACCAGACATGATTCCCTCCATTTAAAAAAAAAATCTGATTTACACTGTTTGTATCCCACAAATAAAAATGTAAATTATGTGTAACCCATTTTGCCTTTGAATCTCCTCATTTAATGTATACTGACTGTCTATGTACAATGTATTTTCCACATGGGGGCTTGCCATAGAGCTGTGTTGTGCACAGGACATTTGAAAACAAATAACAAGTTCAGATCAACATAGCTTGGCTACCATTTACTATTTTCTTATATTTTCAATTGTTTAGGCTAACCCTCTTTGATGTGAACAAATGATTGATTTCAGCAAAAAGCATTAGCATCTTGAAGTGGGCATGATGTATCAAATACTAGAGTTTTACAATAAAGTTCTAAATGTTTATGTATTCTATGTGGATTTTGTCATTGTTTTGGAGCACACTAGAATATAGGTTGTCTTAAGACTAATATATTGATAACTAACATATTTTATGAATGTGTACTAGCATAAAAAGGGTTAAAAATCCTGCTCATATAAAATTCTACTGTATCTACATGCTCTTAATAAACAAATCTAACCTAAAAAGGGTCCTAAGTTTTTTTCTTCTTTTAAGTTACAGTTTTTTTTTTCTTTTTTAAATATTTCCCAATTTATAATTAGCAGAGCAAGGACATTTTCACTGTATGTCTGATAATATTTTTTCTTCTGGAGAAAGTCTTACTTGTTTTGTTTCGGCTAGAATAAAAGCAGTTTTTAATTTTTTAAACACCTTTTTAAGGACAAAATTATTAGCCCCTTTACGCTATATATTTTTCGATAATCTACAAAACAAACCACTGTTATATAATAAATTGCCTGATTACCGTAACCTGCTTAGTTAACCTAATTAACCTAGTTAAGCCTTTAAATGTTACTTTAAGCTGTATAGAAGTGTCTTGAAAAACATCTAGTAAAATATTATTTACTGTCATCATGGCAAAAATAAAATAAATCAGTTATTAGAAATATTATGCATTATGATTGGTTCAAATAGCATATTGCGGGAGATGTATCAGTTGGGTTTGGAGCGAGGAAAAAAACTGTAGGGTAAAGTTAGTAATTTTGCATGTTTAAACTGCGATTTTAATACGATTTCAATTAATCGCACAGCCCTAATTAGCATCACACAAAGGAATTGCTGAACAAATCATTTAAGAATGGTTGGGATAATTAGGCTAGAAAAAATGCATATTATAGGACACGAAAGTGTTTTTGACCTTGCATGCATATTAGTCTGTTGTTGGAGACCAAAAATCCAAAATATGACCTTTTATAATGCATATTAAGAGTTCTTTAAAACTGGCCATACATTTTTTTTTAATGAAACTAGAAATATGTATATTTCAGTCATCCTTACCTTGCTCTGCCATGATCATCTCGATGAGCTCTAACGTAGCCTCATCCTCACACAGATCATATGGCATGTTTCCATCTGCATTCACCGCCAACAGATCTGCACCCCTGAACACATTTAAACCAAACCAGTCGATAATCACACACTATTATTAAAACACACAATTTATGCCGTTCTAAATAATTCAAGTAGTTTATGCAACCCTCAAAACTTATGTTTCACACAAGTGAGCATACACTTCCCCACCATATGCACCAGACAATTTCCTATAAACATTTCATGTTCCAGGGAAAAAACTGCAATCCTGATTGTACTTCCCACAGGTGAGTGGGCTTGACAAACCACCTTTATTGTAGCTAAAATTAGCTGACATTTCATTTAGTGGTCGGTGGGAGAAATGCAAATATCTGCAATATCATTGGTTGGCGCTCAACTTTTATTGTCAGAAAAACACGTTCAAGTGAACACGGATAACATGGTTACTTATGAGCACTAACTAGCAATAAGTTAGTTCTATCATAAAAATTGTATAAATACTTGTAAATCAATTGTTTATTAACGATTAGTTATGATTTAGGCTCATAATATGCTGTCATTCTGCTAAGAGCACATTTCTGATTAATTCATAATACATGTTTTATTTCAAATTATTCATAAATATTTCAACTAAACAAAAGTTTACTAGCTAATGGTATTTCTATGGCCAAGCTGTGTTTAGAGGGTTGCTATGACAAACTAGATGGGCATAATAAATGAATAATACATTTATACTTACGCTTCTATCAGCATCTGGACAAGGTCAGTATGTCCACAGGTGGCCGCTGCATGTAAAGGGGTCCACAGCTCACTGTCACACGCATTCACATTTGCACCTGCATCCAGAAGACAGCGTGCTACCTCCAAAAAATCATCTATGCAGCTCTGTAAAAACACAAAAGTTTAATGAATTGCTGAATAAAAACTGAATTACTGATTCAGCAGAAATGAATGAGCAAAGATAGTGGACTAACCAAGTAGTTAAACAACAATCAACAATTAGACTAGTGTGGTTGACCAATAGATAAGCCAATTTAGCATTTTTATTCAACATTTTTAGGTTACAAATAGACAGTAGCAAAATTTAGCAGTAGATTTATAACTTGCTGTATACACACATAATTCAGTGATTTACAAGGGTGATAAGCATATTCTATGCTCAAATTTATCCTGAACTTATCAACTTCTTTAACTTAGTTGTCAAATGTACAAAGAAAAAAATCCCCGTGATTTTAGTGAGCAAATTAATTGTATTATGGATATATTATAAAATTTTAATTTTGATGCCGGGAAAACACTCCAAAAATGTTGGGACAGAGGCATGTAATGCCGTCTCTTCATTTTAACACAATGTTTAATCATCTGGAAATTGATAATACAAAATGCTAATGTTTTAATAGCAAAATATTTTGCCCAATCTGCCTTGATACAAAACTAAACAGTCAGTTCTCCTTTACACGATGAGCCATACATTCTCAATGGGAGATAGATCTGGACTGCAGAAAGGCCAGTCAAGCATATCCATTGTGTGCCTACTAAACTAGTTGGCTGTAGCACATGCTAAATGAGACTTGATCTAATAACCATTTGCATGAATAAATGTAATTTTCCAATTTGTTTGACAATTCCTACATTACTTTTGGCACAAAATAATGAGCCATGATCATGCTTTACTTGCAAAGACTGAGATGCTCATTTATTTCCAACCATGCACCCAGCATATATCTCAAATGGGCTATATGCACAGCTAGTGTTTTTCAGCCAATCATGAACTTCCAGTGAAAGGTTTATGTGACTATTTTCAATTTCTTAAGGTTCCTTTTAGAGCATTGGTGTTGTAATGTATTTCAAATATTATCAATTAAATAGACCTAAGCATCTATTTGGAAAAATGAATTTAATGCAGTGCTTCTTGTTTTGTCTGATACCCACTTTATATCGTATATCAGCCAGGCAGTGAAGATCGCTGTTTTTTAAGGAAATCAGATTTTGAACGCAGCGATTTTTGGGGCTGGCTAAATAAAAAAAGTCTGTGTGCATATAACCCTACTTATTGTGGACTGCTTTGTTTAATTTGGATATTAATGGGACCCCCTCGGAAATGAGATGATTCATCTCAAGGGGCTATCCCATTCAATAAATTCAATTTACAATATTCTATTACCTTTTTACGTTTAACTTGCCTCTGTCCCAATTTGTTTGAGTTGCATTGCAGCCATCAAAGTTTAAATTATTTAATGTTTCCAGAATACAATTAATTTGCTAACCGAAAATCTTTTGTTTTACTTTTGTCAATTAAAAAATATAAAGAAAAATCTTTTCTGCATATTTTTAATTGTATTAAAAAAAAAAACATTTCTGGAATTTTTGTTGTAAATCAGGACTGTTTTATGTTATACCTAGAGCCTATTGACGTGGACATGGCAACATTGCAAAAATACAATGTTAGAGTTAGAAAAAATGTAAAATCTCATACAAAGCGCAGATGTGCAAGATATTCCATACACAACAGTGAATATAATGGGAATTTTAGTAAAAATGCTTTTTTCTGAGAATACATGTTGGCATGATCCTAACATGTTGACAATGACAAAAACAATAGTCACACTTTACAATAAGGTTAATTAGTGTAACGTAATGTTTTTAGAATTAACAATGATTGTACTGCATTTATTAACCACAGTTCATTCTAGTTTAGTTTACTAATGCATTATTTGAAATTGATAGTTGTGCTTGTTAACAGTAATTAATGTACAATGAGTTAAAGTGAACAAAAAAAAACACTTTATTGTCACTTATTAATGTTAACAAAGATGAATAAATAATGTAATAAATGTTTGTTCATTGTGGTAAAAGCATTCACTGATATTAACTAATAAAACCTTATTGTAATGCGTTACCAAAACAATTAATTATATAAAGGCAGTGCATAATATTGTTGTGGGCAGCCAGCCAGTGAAGACCAACATGTAAATTTGTCACAAATCTACATCAATTAGTAATGGAAATTAAACATAACTTGCTAACAAATTGATTCTCTCTTTAAGAAGACAAAAGATTTGTCATTGTGAAGAGTTGGGCAGGGCTGAGAGTATATGTTAGCACTTAATATTGCTCTTATATTTATTTCATGCAGCAGCCATTCCTAACAGCTTAATTTAATAAATGTTTTGCTGTATTCCTAATGTCTTAATTCTTAATGTCTTAATTAATGTGCTTAATTCTATAATGTCTACATAAATTGTTTGACAATTTGATAAATTCGGTTCAAGGTTAGGTGATAATTCAATGATCATATACAGTTAAAGTCAGAATTATTAGCCCCCCTTTGATTTTTGTCTTTTTAAAATATTTCCTGAATTATGTTTAACAGAGCAAGGAAATGTTCACAGTATGTCTGATAATGTTTTTTTCTTCTGGAGAAAGTCTTATTTGTGTTATTTTGGCTAGGATAAAAGCAGTTTTAAATTTTTTAAAACCCATTTTAAGGACAAAACTATTAGCCCCTTTAAGCTAACTTTTTTTCAATAGTCTACAGAACAAACCATCATTAAACAATAACTTTCCTAATTACCCTAACCTGCCTAGTTAACCTAATTAAGCCTTTAAATGTCACTTTAAGCTGCGTAGAAGTGTCTTGAATAAGATCAAGTAAAATATTATTTACTGTTATCACGGCAAAGATAAAATAAATCAGTTATTAGAGATAAGTTATTAAAACTATTATGCTTAGAAATGTGTTGAAAATATCTTCTCTCCCTTAAACAGAAATTGGGTAAAAAAAATTAAACAAGGAGGCGAATGATTCAGAGGGACTAATAATTCTTACTTCAATTGTATATATGCAAATTGCATGTCTATGTGTGAAAGAAAGAGTGTCCTTTATGTCAATGAATGTGTACCTGATGTAGAGCAGTGAGCCCATCCTCGTTGAAAAGGTCTGGACTGACTCCATTATTCAGCAACTGTCTTACTGCCAAAAGACATAAATACAAAGTTATGACATTAAAGGGATAGCAAAGGCCTCTAGATTATGCTTATTTTACCAAAATAAAATATGATCATGCCTTGATTTTTAATTATTTAATTAGGACAGTAAGGTATGAGTTTGCTTAGACAAAAGTCTTGTCACTTTGTAATAATAATTGAAATGAAATAATTTACAGTATAGAATATAAAGTTATGATGCAGCGGGAAAAAAAATAGATTTTATATGATTCCATTAAAGCTTGGAGGACTGCATCCATACATCTGTGCAATCACTCAAATAACTTATTAATAAGTCATATGGAAAGGCAAAGAAAGTGTTTTTGCAAGACTCCCAGAGTTCATCAGGATTCTCTGGATTCATCTTCAATGCCTCCTCCTTCATCTTACCCAAGACATGCTCAAATATGTTCATGTCTTGTGACAGGGCTGGCCAATCATTCAGCACATTGAACTTCTTTGCTTTCAGGGACTTTGATGTGGATGCTGAAGTATGAGAAGGAGTGCTATCCTGCTGAAGAATAAGCCCTCTCCTGTGGTTTGTAATGCAATGGGCAGCACAAATACCTCAGGCTGTTAAGTTGCCATCCACTTTGCAGATCTCTCGTACACCTCCATACTGAATGTAACCCCAAACCATGATTTTTCCTTGACTAAACTTGACTGATTTCTATAAGAACCTTGGGTCCATGCGGGCTCCAATAGGTTTTCTGCATTATTTGTGATGATTGGGATGCAGTTCAACTGATGATTCATCAAAAAAAAATCTACCTTCTGCCACTTTCTTAATCAACTAGAAGGTCAAGTTTTTATTTGTTGCTCTCACAACTGGGATCGACAACAAGACTTTTGTCAGATAGTGTTCATGATATAACTCATAATGTAATGTAATTCTGAATTAACTGGTAAAAGGCAGAGTACTGAATGTAATAACCAATTTATTTATTCTTCTTTCATTTCTTACATTATTATTGTGCAGTAGTGATAGTACTCTATTCTTACCCTCCTCGATATCATTCCTGGCAGCAGCCTCCAACAGCATCACATTGGAGTTAAAGGTCACCCTTCTGCTTTTCTTCACCCCATCTCCCTTGTGGTCGGCCTTGTGACCACGGGCACTGTCCTTCTCCATCTGAGCCCAGCCTTTGAGCTGCTGTGCCCGTCTCTTCTGCGCCTGCTTCAGGCGCTCTGTGGCTGAAAGACGCCCAATAGATGCCATTTCTGCTAGCAGCTCTCCATGCTCTGCCATATCTTTCAAGTCAAGATTTTTAAAGTGTTCCCAATCCAGTCGTACACCACAAGGACTGTGGCTTCTGGTCGGATTGTCTTTGGTCTCCTATCATACGCATTCGATGACTCCTTCACATCTGCAGTTCCAATGTTCAAGTGTCTGATGAGAATTGCAAACAAACACAAGATCCAGCAGGATAATGCAGAGATGCAGATGAAAGCCAATGATGAACCATATTCTTAAGAATTTTTTTTATAGGAGTGAAAATCCTACAAAAGAAAGAGAAGAACATTTAAGTGTCCATTTTTGTAAATTGGTTTTAATGTCAGATTAATGTAGATTAATGTAATCTTATCCGCTCACTATGGACAATCTTATAACTCAATTACACCTTTCATAAAGTGTTAGTTCACTCCAAAATATATACTTGCACTGAGAAGAAAAAACTTGAATAAAGTCTTATGTGCGCAAAAAAAGCGTTTTCTTGATGATATTGCGATTGAACTGCTGAAGCCATATGGTCTGTTTTGAGGTTGTTGGGTTTTTTTTTTGGTATTCTTCTGAACTTTGAGTTGAGGCCATTTCTGTCAAATATGACGGAGCTCTCCAATCCCAATTCTATTCTTTTTTTTATGTCTCTATTTCCACTTGAAGAAGCAGCTGCTCTTTATAGCAGCTATTTCAGCACTATTTCACCTTGTGTTTTCCAGCATTTTAAAAGCTTTATTTACAATTTAACATGCTTATTAACTGACATTGCAGCAGAAAATGTGATTTAAAAGAAGATTTTTTTTTTCTTCTAAACATTACATTTGTAACATAACACATTTTCTTTTACTTTAGTAACTGTAATCGGATAACACATCTAAAATGTAATTCTTTACATTACTGCATTACTCAAAAATGTAATTAGATTACAGTAACGTGTAATGTGGAATGCATTACACCTAACTCTGGTCATCGTTATCTTTTATTCAAATAAGATCGACGATCATGGTTGCTCTAGTTATTCCAGTCGCATTCTTTTTTGGCTATTTATCTTCAGGAAATCACTTAAGGCATATGTCATGTTTTCATAATGATATAATGTTGCAATAAGATCGTAACTGTACTGTAAATTTATACCGTTTCCTTATTCATCTAAACACATGAAAACATTACCGTTGGACCAGTTGCTGTGAAAAGCTAATTCCCAGCCACTAGACCTTTCTAACACGAGTGTCATGAGTGACAGATGTGAACGTATGTTGTGGGACTACTATACAGGAATTATTATTAGGGATTAAAGATGGCGAAATTTGGTGTTTTGTTTTTTTTTTGTAATTTTTTTTTAAATCATGATGGTAAAACACGAACGCAGTTATGATTATACTAAAACATTTGCTTGTTTTTTTGTAACAATTGATAATAATGACAAAAAATATTAATTTGTGCATCTCCTGACTTACTGTGTGCAGCCATCCTGCCGTTGTATTTTGGGAAACTTTCGTATCTTTTTGTTTCGAGTGTGGTCCTGAAAAATCTTAGTTTTGAGGGCTATCTAGCCCTTTCCCTTAGGCGTATGCCTTCAAGCTAAAGAGAATTGAGACATCCCTACCCCTTCACAAAATAGCGCAAAACGAGGGTTCCGGGTAAGGGCTAAGGGGTAGAATTGGGATTAAGCCTTAATCTAAAAACCCCTCATTTGTATTACAAAGATGAATGCAGGGTTTTGGAATGGAATGCTAGAGACAAATTAATAAAGTTATTGAGTGAACCAACTCTTTAAAACCATCATAATTCCTTCTTCCAGAATTCTATAAAATACAAAATATATATATAGAGCCTAGGGAAAGCAAGATAAAGTTGGCCAACTTCACCATTTGAGTATCTTTTAGCACTTAAAGAAAGAAGATGTTTTGAAATAATCTACTTTTGCAGTTTCAAAAGAAACTGTATTCAGATATCTTAATACTTGAGCTATTCGCATGAGGACTTTCAAAATATTTTGACCACCCAGAAAGGGTCATTCTATGGAACTGCTTTTAAAACAAAGGAAACGACACATTTATGATATTAACTTTGTTTCAGACATTGGCTATTAAAAATAAAATATCAGCTGTATAGAAAAAGACCATAACAACTGAAAGTGAGTACATCATGCTTATGCCTTATTTCCACTGAGTGGTACAGTACGGTACAGTACGGTTTGGTACGGGTCACCTTTATCAAGCTTGTGTCTCCACTGTCAAATGGTACCAATGGTACCTTTTTGGTAGACGTGGTGTTCGACAAAGTTTCAGTAGACATCATTCTCGCTCAAAACGTCAAAGTAAAGCTGTACAGATTGTTCACATCATATGAGAAGCACTTCTCACAAAACAGATGCTTTGTACTCATAAATACTTGTGTATAACTTTCCATTACTAACCTTTCTACGAACATAATTTGATTATAACTGCAAATCAATGATAGTGTGAAATAGCCTACTGTACTGTCAACAATTATATAAAATAAATAAATAGATAGATGCAACATATGTCAACACACAGACCCTTACAGTCTTTAAAATGTTACAGAAAAACTACACACAACATAAATTCAGGCTTTATTTGAGTTCAAAAACAACACAAAACAGTGCAAACTTCAGTGCAAACTTCATGGGCTCTATTTTGACGGTCCATGCGCAGAGCGCAAAACGCAGGGCGCAAACGCTTTCAGGGCGTGTCAGGACGCGTTTTTGCTAATTTAAGGACGGGAAATCAGCCTTGCGCCGTGGCGCATGTTCTAAAAGGGTTGAGTTTATTTTCTTAATGAGTTATAGGTGTGTTTTGAGAATAAACCAATTAGAATCTCATCTCCCATTCCCTTTAAGAGTCAGCTGCGTCGCGCCAAGAGCGCATTCGCTATTTAAAGGACACAAAGTAAGTCTAAGTGGAAAAAATGAGCATTTCACAAGCAAACAGTTAACAGTTAACAGTTTTTTTTAACAGAAAGCTGTTAAACAGAGCATCTACTGCGTGAGAATGAAAGATAATGGATCACTTTCACTTTCGCTCTTGGATAGGGAAACCTTTACGCACAGACATCAATTAGTCTATAAATAAATACTTTTGTTTGTTAAGCGCAAATATTCATTTCAAAACTATTTCTAAATTCAGTTATAATTTCCAGCAAACTAATAAATGAATAATATTAGGAAAATGTGCTCAAAAACCTGAGTTATATCCTAAAACACATGCTGTGCCCCATATGGTCTAAAACCTGACAGGTGGCCAAATCTAAGCTTGTTTTTAATAAACAAATATAAATATGGATATAATAAATAATACTGCTAATAATAATAACATTATACAAAAGCAAATTGTTATGAATGAACTGAAAAAGCCTCCCGAGATGAAGAAGACATATAAGCAATGGTTTTTCATATTTATGTAGGCTAGAAAATAATATGTTTTGTAATATTTTAATCCTTTATATTTATATTTTATATCTATTCTTATTATATACTATATATATCCTTTATATTTACATTTTTTCATATATAAAGATATTTGCCTATTGCTCTCTTGTGCGTATTAAGCAGAGTGTAAGCGAGGTGCAACTCTGTGCCGGAGTTTAGACCGGGTTAGTTTTGGTCTGATGAAAAATCTATTATAGTTTCTATAAAACTTTTTAATCAAATACTACATTTATTTATTTTATTTTGCAACATTGTATTTCTTTATATAAACTCACAACTTCATGAGTCATGACATAAACATGTGTGGACATGGTAATTCGCAAGCACACAATGTCTCACTCTTGATAATGTATTCAAATATTTGTATTGTAGTCTAAATTTAGTACACTAAGTTTATTATAATAAATAAGAAATCAAATGTTTCCAAATATTTCATCATTTGTGTGTTTCTTTAATTGGAAAAAAAATTTAATACAATTGTTTAGCAGGATAAGCTGACACAGAGTGATGCTTTTCATGGTGAATATGCATTAGTTTGTTTTTTTAGAATGCAAAACATGGAAATGAGCTAGAGCAGAGGTGAAATGCAAAGAGGAGGAAAATGTCGTTTGTATGTGCTTGGTTATAATGTGCAAACTCATTTTATCAATTGTCACTCACAGAAATACCTCATAAATAAATATAATAAACATAAAATCAAAAGTTTTTGAAGGGTATTATTATTTACCTGTAGATAAACTAATGGGTGGGGGTTAGTATTCATCATTCGACTAAATATTGTTTTACATTGTGCTATTTTCACACAATCGTTAACCTTTATAATGCTAAATGTGTTTACTTTAGTAGCACATTGTTATCCACATGACAGGATGGAATATGTGCAAATGACATTCAAAATGCAAGTATATTTACCCAAAATAAATATATTTTAACTGTAAACAGAAGGCTAGTATGACTGTAAAAAATATAGATTGACAGTTTAATAGAACTGTTTTATGATTAGGCCTAGTTATTTATACTTTATTATGTACTATATAATACTATATTCTTAAATAAGCATATACTGTATATATAACTAATAAGCCCCATTACAGATGTAAACACTGGGGACATGTGGCTTCTGCCCGTGTCCAATTTCCTTGTTTTGAAAAATTGCAGAAGCCTTTATCATGATATAAGATATTATCAAAATAAATTCACTCCAATGATTACTTTGATAGATATATTAACCAAAAAATACTTTATTTAATGTTTTACTCAATACACGTTCAGAGTAAAAACATATTTAAGCAAATTAAATAGCACAAGGAAAATAAATTACAATAGGTAAGAAGGTCTCATTATGTATAAATGTAGCTTTAGCTATGATAAAGCTATGATAAAGTTCATTTAAAAAAGGCAGCACAGTGGCTGAAGGAAAATGTATGAATGAATAATGTTTAAAAATACAACTGAATTTTATTAGCTATTAACTGCATTTAAACGATTATGACCTTTGATTTTAATTCATTATTAAACATTAAGAAATGAACAACAACTATAATTAATACATGTTTTTGTAGTTGTTGTAACATTGACTTCAGTTAAATGGACTGATGTTAAATGAAACCTTACTGTACATTTATAAACAAAAGGCCTATGTAGTTACAGAATTCAATGTGGTAGACCTGATTAATATGCAAAAGGTTAATTTTTAAAAATAATTCACCTAATAAGTCTTCAAGCATTTGTTGCTGTGATGAACAAATGTTGCACATTAGTGAATTCTGAAATTTCTTAAAAAGGCACTCTAAAAGTTTCAATAATAAATAATTATTCAATGTATTT